AGATATTATTAATTCAACAATCTGAGGGATGCACATGAATCTTGTTGTAATAGCAATGGATAAAAGTTTGCAATTTTTTTCGGTTGAAACAAAATTGGTCATTGCAATATTTCAATTTTTTGAAAAAAAACCAAGTGGATACAGCAAAACAGTGTGCTATATTAAACTTCATTTTTTCAGTTTTTACCATCTTGATACCGCCATCTGTCCGTTAGATGAGAACCTTGCGATGTATTACCCGGAAGCATTTACTCCACTTGGTCAAAATAACTTGAAAAACTTCCTCGAGTTGATTCCGGCAAGAGCTTCTATAATATTTTTCTTTAATGAGTAGTTGTATTAACTGAGTAATTTAGGTTCCTGAATGCGACGCAAATAAATTCGCGTGCAACGCCGTGGTTATTGGTAAAAATGTCATCATGAATGAGGGTTGCAATAAGACGGCAAAGGTAAAGCTACTGTTCTTCTTCTCCGCAAATAAGCTTTAGGGGGATTTATGGTTTGGCTACATTCATAGAGCGTATGGCTAAGCACCTTTCTCTAACTATGCCTCAAGGCGTTGTCGCTTCGTTGCTGTAGCCATAGTTATATATGATCTGCTTTTAACTCGAATAGCCCATAAAGATGAGCCGTGGGCGTTCAATTAGCAAAAGAATGCAAACATTTTTGAAATCTCTGGTGAAATTTTGAAACTACACATTGTATCAAAATTCTTTTCGACGACTTGCTACTTTTTTATCTCTTAGATAATCTTAGATATTTGCAGCTACTGGAAAGTCGCGGATTCACAGTACATTTTGTGGCGATGTCTGAATTTCTCAAGTCTGGAGGATCATGTAAATGTCTAACTCTACGGCTTGATTTTGACTGGTTCAAGAACAAATAAACATTTGAAAATCATTGCTTTTTTTGTGGTACTTTATTCTTGAAGATATGAGCTTAATGGGAAGCAAACTGGAAGTTGCAAAGTTTACCCCGTGCTTGAACTTTTTCCAGATGGTAGAAATATCAAAACTTTTGTTGGAGCTAGTTTCTCGTATGAATGAATAGCATTAATTGCTAACAAGTAATTGTTTGATTGTTCCAAATCGTTCACAATCCTGTCTCTATCGATAATTGAGGGGAAGCCATCTGTCTGTCATCAGACGACGCATAGTTTTGCAACAAACGTCGCGACAAGCACTGTCAAGTGGCCATTCCGTTCTATCGTGGAAGAGCTACTACTTCAGGCGACGTTTTTAGCACACGGAACCACTCCATTTGGTCTCGTCACCATTGTTGCGCTTATGGAGGCCAACGCAGTCGACGCAGCCTCTGCCGCCGCAGGCGTCACCGTTGCGCATCACCTATACGCATTAAGCTGCAAAGCGATGCGCCTGCTTCTAATGGTTCTCGTCGGTTACGGTAAGCCGCTAAGAGAGAGATTCAGTTTGCCTTTTTGATTCAAGCTGAATGTGTAATGTCTTATTTGAGTATCTGTCATTCAAAATGGCAGAAGTCACTTTTTAAATATGATATTATTGAATCTAATAATATAAATCTCACTCACTACTGATCTCAAGATAGACTTGTGGTAAAGGAATATTTAAATTACACCTAATTTTCCCTCAATGATTGCTACCCCGGAAATGTAAGAGTTTGAGTCTGTTCTTGTTTTTTCTTGTAG